TAAAACATATAATATTTTTTATAGAAATTAAGATAAATTTTTTATTTTTTAGTAATAATTTTCTAGAGAATAATAAATAATATTTGTAATAATATTATATTTATAATTAAATAAAATAAGTAAAAGAAAATTAATATAAAAAAAAAAGAAGATAACAAAAAGACAAAATCATAAAAAAATAGAAAAAACATGATTATATTAGGGAGTAGGGGTGCCATAAGTAAAAAGGAGGTGTGCCATTAGCCTCCTCCTAAAACAAAGGCCTTTTGGTAAGCATATAAATTGAACTTGAATGGCAATTAAATATAATTGATAGAATTAGGGGTTGTTTACCAAACGCTTACCCGGTAAGTGCTTATCAGTAAAATTTAACACTATTCTTTACATACCGGGTAAGATTTTAGTCCACCAAAACGACATCCTATGCAATAATTTACCCGGTAAGCGCTTACCCGGTAAGTGCTTATCGGTAAAATTTAACACTATTCTTTACATACCGGGTAATATTTTAGTCCACCAAAACGACATCCTATGCAACAATTTACCCGGTAAGCGCTTACCGTAGTAAGAGACGTCGCTCTCACTTACCGGGTAAGATTCATGGTCATTGTCTCGCTCTTACTGGGTAAGATTTTTGGTCTTTACCATATTCATTCGGTGAGGTAATATGACTTGGTAAGCATTTACTCGGGTAAGTGTTTGGTAAATGGCCCCTTAGTATTTTAAAGATCCAAATAAATGAACATTTTTTATATGAATTGGAAAAAAGTAAACTATAAAAAAAAATTGAATACCATTTGATATATGGGTATTCGTTTTAGAACAGATAAATTGCGATAACCTTGAGAACCGAAAACATCGTGTATTATTTCATATGATTCTTTTTTCATCTACAACTTAGATTTAATGTATTGATTAACACATATTTGTTTCACATACATTTATTTTATAATGTGAACATTTTTATGTGTTTGTACAACAAAAAAGCTTCATATTATGAACCGAATACATATAAAACAAACACATCATAAAACAAATGTATATATTAATCAATATACAATTTTTTTTAATTTTTTGTTTATTATTTATTTAATTAATTTTGTTTATTTAATAGGGTATATCATTCCAAAAGGATGGAAAATATACGTATATACAAGAGAAATGAACTATGACCCATGTCTATATCCGGATCCATATACCTTCAATCCATGGAGATGGCTGGTTTGTTTAAATTCTCGTTCACTTTTAGTATTATTACCTTGTTTCCAGTTAAATAAAAACTGAAATTAATTACGACATGCACTGTAGGATAAGCCACTGGAGACGGAAAATTACTTTTTCGTATTTGGAGGTGGCACCAGACGGTGCCCTGGAAAGGAGCTTGGCATTGCAGAAATCTCCACATTCCTTCATTACTTCGTAACCAGATACAGGTATCACAAACTTACGAACTTTAGGTTACTCTTTTAAGCAACAAGCATATAAACGGTGTTTCAAGATATACGTTTTAGGTTTCTAAATGTATGTTTTGAAACACCCTTTGGTCAGTATTTATATATTGTTGTGATAACAGATAGTTTCTATAATCCAATTTATGGGTATGCTAATAAATGCAGATGGGAAGAAGTTGGAGGAGATGAAATAACGAAATTTCCAAGAGTCGAAGCACCAAATGGTCTACAGATAAAAGTTTCTCCTTATCGACATTGTTATTGAGAATGAAACAGATGTTTTACTGTTTTTATAGACCCGTGAAAAACAAGTGATCGTAGTAGAGAACACCAACCCGTTGCTAGCTAACAAAATGGCACATTACATTTTTGTTTAATTTTGAAAGATTTATTTTGCACAATGACTTCTCAGTATAGTAAAATTAATTTTATAGGACACCTAAAATGTAGAAACGTTTTAAAAAAACTTTTTTTTGAAGTATATAATATTTATATACGGCAAATAGAACAAATAAACACACACCATCCTTACATTTGGTGAGGATTGAACCATTGATCTCCTAAGAGACCAATAACTCACATACCACTAGGTCTTAAGTTTATTAGAATGCTTAGACAATTATGTTGTAGTGTCTCTTGTTAATTGTTATAAGTATCAAGAAACAATATTTTGTAATTATCATGTTTTTATTTGTATTTTTATAAAGAAAAAATGAAACTGTAAGCAATTATCATATAAAAGCTCATTTTTAGCAAGAAGTTCACAATCGGTTACCCGGGAACTTAGATGTTTAAAACTTTATATCTTAGATACCAAAATTGAAGTTTTAAAAATACGTTACTAAAAATAAAAATCAAGTTAAAAGTACGTTACTTTTTCATGCAATTCGCCCTTCATAAAATTATGATTGGTTGGTTTAGATTTGTAACATCTCAAACCAACTGTATTATCTCTTTTGTATACATTTGAACTTACTGTTTTAAAACGTGTCTGATAAAGAAGATATTCGGTCTCTTATAAGGCAACATTATATTTGTTCCATTTTCAACCGATGTGAGATCTTACTGGATCCGATTCTCACTGGAACATGTTCCTCTCGGGTCACGTCTAGACCCGTCCTCGGCTCCAGTCTCGCTTTTGCATCTCTAGTATGAACAATCGCTTTATGGTACAAGTTCCCGGTTTTTTTATCACATCCGATCCGTACCCAACCCATATACATATTTACGATAATACCCCTGTCGGAAATATAACACAAACACAAGGCACAACAATAAAACCGGAAATCATAACCATACTTTGAACAAATCCCAGCCATTGAAACCTCCTTCTCAATCGGTATCTCAAATCACCTTCTTCCCCATTTCTTATATAACACACTCTCTCTCATTCATTCAAACCATTAACTTCTCTTTTCGTTTGGTGTTTTTGGATCATGGCCTCATCATCTTCATCGTACCCTCTGAAAGACGAACTCGATATCGTCATACCCACGATTCGAAACCTTGATTTCCTCGAAATGTGGAGGCCATTCTTTCAACCATATCATTTGATCATTGTTCAAGATGGTGATCCTTCGAAGACGATTAAGGTCCCCGATGGGTTTGATTACAAGCTCTATAACCGTAACGATATTAACAAGATCTTGGGTCCGAAGGCGTCGTGTATCTCGTTTAAGGATTCGGCTTGCCGATGCTTCGGGTACATGGTTTCGAAGAAGAAGTATATCTTCACCATTGATGATGATTGCTTCGTGAGTTGTTTTTACGGTTTTTTTTATTTAAAGATTCGAGTAATATAGGTGTTTTATGGATACCCAGATGCTTAAATTGCATTCAAATGCCTTCGAAAACGAAAAGAAATCTTCTTTTGATCGTTACGATGTTCGATTTACGGTTTTCTTGATTCAAAGATTCATGAATATATGTCGTTTCATGGATACCCAGATACTTAAATTGTATTGAAATCCTTGCAAAAGCAAAAAGATATCATCTTTTGATCGTTAAGATGTTCGATTTACGGTTCTCATCGATTCAAGAATTCATAAATATGGTCGTTTCACTGCAACAAAATCGGGTTTACATGATACCAGTATTCTACTTTATACGACTTAATTTTTAAGTTTATAAGACCAAACAATAAAACATTCTATCTAAAAATGTTATAATAAGTTTATTGAACGTTTTTGGACGTCTTGACAAGTTTTTAAGACACTTTTATGAAGTTTCATATTGGCTATTTTATACACTTTTAAGAAGTGCCTTATGATTCATAATACCCTTTCTCAAAAAGTGTCGTAAAATAGCTAACACGACTATTTTTATAAAAATGTCCTGAAAAGTATGACGTACAGAAACGTCCTATAAACATATTACAACACCTTTACATATGACATTTTATTGTCTGGTCTTGTAAATTAAGTCTTACAAAGCAATCTATCGGGTATTTTATGAATACCCAAATGCTTAAAAGTATCTTAAAATCCCTTCAAATTAAAAAAGAGATCATATTTTTGTTGGTTGTGATGTTTGATTTTTCAATAGGTTGCTAAGGACCCAAGTGGGAAGGACATAGATGCCCTTCGACAACACATTAGGAACCTCCTCCACCCTGCAACTCCCTATTTCTTCAACACCCTTTACGACCCGTTCACCGATGGTGCGGATTTCGTCCGTGGCTACCCGTTCAGCCTCCGTGAGGGTGTTCCGACCGCCGTCTCTCATGGTCTTTGGCTCAACATCCCGGACTATGATGCACCAACTCAGCTCGTCAAGCCGAGAGAGAGAAACACAAGGTACGTTATCGGACCACCGGAAATGATTATAACCCTCGAGTCAAATATTGTTTGATTAGTTTTCCATTAAGGTTTTTGTATAGTTTCCAAGGTCTCATAAGATTAGTCGAGGTGCACACAAACTGACCCGTAAACCTTGGGCAGGTTTCATTGATTTTTTTTGTGTTTGATGTTGTTTGGTCTTTTTTTTAGGTATGTTGATGCAGTCATGACACTCCCAAAGGGCATTTTGTTCCCTATGTGTGGAATGAACCTGGCATTTGACCGGGATCTCATCGGTCCAGCCATGTATTTCGGACTCATGGGTGATGGTCAACCCATTGGCCGCTATGACGACATGTGGGCTGGCTGGTGTGTCAAGGTACTTTCAACTTGCAATACAACTCCTCGACCCAACTAGAAATGCACAAAACCCAGGCTTTTGGGGTCCTCGGGACCTTCCAAGCCCGTTTTAAGCAAGAAAGAGAGCCTTGGTTTTTTCGGCCCAAAAGCGGGCATAAGCTTCGGGTGTGAAAAAAGGCCTAATCGGCCTTTTCCAGGCTTGGGTTTTTGAAAAAAAAAAACTTGGCTCGATCAAACTTTTAGCCTGGCATGGGCCTAGGTTTCAGGCTTGCTAGGCCAAAGCTTTTTCGAGCCGGGCTCCGGGCTTTTGTGCATCTCTAGATCCAAACGGACATTTTGGGCACTTCAATTCACCATGTTTGTGATGGTTTTGTAGGTGATATGTGATCATTTGGGGCTCGGGATCAAGACCGGGTTGCCATACATTTGGCACAGCAAAGCGAGCAACCCGTTCGTGAACCTCAAAAAAGAGTACAAAGGCATATTTTGGCAAGAAGAGATCATCCCGTTCTTCCAAGACGTTATTCTTCCAAAAGAGAGCACTACGGTACAGGATTGTTACATCAAATTGTCAAAGCAGGTTAAAGATAAGCTTGGGAAAATCGACCCGTACTTTGTCAAGCTCGCGGATGCCATGGTTACATGGATCGAAGCTTGGGAAGAGCTCAACCCACCTGCTAAGGCGGCTAACGGCAAGTGAAGAGATATACGCACATACAGAGGATCATATATGATAGTCCCGGACAACCAGAAGCATAATAAAAAAAATTCGGTTTATTATTTTCGTTTCAGTGACTCTCCGGTGACCAGACCGAGTTGTATCAATCGAAACCAGGGTGGTCACTCCAATCTCGTAACATTAGTGTTTGTAATATTTTCAATGAACGAACAAACAACAAACCAAGTCTTGAAAACGTGAAACGGGTCAAGTTTCATGTGGTTTCCAAGATAACATATTATAAAGATTGGGTCAGATTCATTTGAAAACTGTAAATATCTTGAGATCCTTAAAGAACCAATTATTCACGATGATCATCAATGTTATGTATAATGCAAATGAATGATATCCATCATGAACAATATTCATGAACATATTTACCATGAATTATTCGAAAGAGATTCATGATATATATACACCTAAATAGTGTCGGTTTCGAAGGAAAACCGCAAAAAAAATGAAAAATTGATGAACACCCTAGTAATCGTTCAACTCTACAGTATGCACATGTGCATAACATGCATACGTGCATGGAAACCAAGAAACATCTTCAATTACTTGTATGTACTTGTGCATACCGTATGGATGAATGGTTATATTATGATGTTCCTCAGTTTTTCATTGTTCAAGTACCTCACTCTACCTAAATATTCATTAATATTATTCATCATGAATATCATGCAATTCCATCATCCATTATATTTAAATATTCATCGTGAATAATTCATGAATGGCTGGTTTTCACGGTTCTCCCTAGTTTCCGATTTATGAAGAAAAAAAACAAGGTTTATAAAACAAATCTGAGCAAAGCCTCAGATCACCCCTTTCCCAAAAGAACAAAAAAACAAAATTAAAAAGAGCTTAATGGTTATTGAAAAACTTCAAGATTTATAAAAAAGCCATATAAAATTTCACCCATAAATTAATAATGGTATTTGTGCAAAGAAATGAAGAAAAAGGTCATGCTAGAAGTGCATTTGAGGTCCCAAATTTACCTTCTCTTTTTCATGAAATGGAAGTCGGGTCTTCGGTCTTCTTACGCTTGGCTTGGGGCTCTTCGGATTCTTGTTCATCATTGTTAAGAATCCCATTGACCGCATCCGCGCCCAATAGGGAGACGTGTTTGCTGGTTATGGTGCGACCAGCCCTCAACTTTGGGCCCCAGTGCCTTTCGGGATTTGGAAGGAAGCGTGCAACCTTCTTGGCTTGAGCTTTGCTAAGTGACGCAACTGCTCTTGCGAAATTAGCCTGTTTAACAGAACAAAAATGAAGAAACATACGAAGATGAAGAACAAAAGACACTCTCATCTTGCTAGTTGTGATTTAAAATACATTTGCCAAACTAACTACTATTAGTTGATAAGCTAGTTGTTGGGCAAATAAACTAGCTGTTAGTTGATAAATTAATCATGTTTGGTAGAAATTCGCTGATAAGCTACAAGATAATGTAAAATGACCAAAAGAGACGGTTAAAAATTAACCCAAAAATCTAAGGGGCAAAATTAGAAAAGAAGTGGAAAAAAGATCTTGGAGGCCGGAGCTTATTGAAACACTACTTGAAGTACCGTCTCAAAAAACTAGCTTATAACTAACGATATGGAATAAGCTAGCTTATTTGTTTTCAAACATGGCCTTGGCATGCTATCATAAAGTACTCCTCCGTTGCAAAAAAATGCCCCAATGAAAAAGGCATACAGTTTTAAAAATATGTAATTATTATACATTTAATTAACTAAATAACAATTTTACCCTTGATAATTGAGGAAATAACGAATTTCTCCATCTCATAATCAAGGGTAGAATTGGAAAGCAGACACTTCTAAAAGTGGACATTTATTTTGGAATATACTAAAATAGAAATGTGGACACTTATTTTAGTACAGAAGGAGTAACACGTGTGATCAAAAATAGACATTTATGCAATAGAAGTGTCTATCTTTCATCAAGGAAGTGAGATTATCATGGCTTCACTTCCTCCATTGTAGTTCAATAAACAATATAACTCGTACTGAATTGCAAAATACCTGAAGAACAGGCTCTTTGGCAAGGATCACGCTTCCCGACTGATCAGGTGATTGCGCTTTCACAGGATGAGTTTTAACCTTGATCAGATCAAAAACAAAAAATAGGGATCAATTTCACGCCTCAAAGGTGCATCAGAGACGGAAAGTAGAAAATGTGTGAACCCTCAGGGGTAGCTCAACTAGTAAGACCTTAGGTTTGCTCCCCAGAGGTCACCAATTCAGGTCCCCCTAAGGGCACACCAAAAGGTTTGTCTGACTATTATCTTCAGGATCCCATGGGATTAGTTGAAATGCGTGCAAGCTGACCCAAACACCCACAGTTACAAAAAAAACTAGCTAAAATACGGAAGTGCTTACCCAACAGCGCATGATATCCCATATGACGTTCATAGGAGCATCAGATTTCAACCCCAGTGGGTTTACATGAGTTCCGGAGATGCGATATCCGGCATTGATCACAGCCGACCGGAATATTACAGCAGATGGGGAAGTGCACTTAAGGGTTGCACAGAGATTGTGCAAACTCAAGAACAGAGGAACATCGGGCAATTCCTGAAATTATTTAGATGTAATCAGGAAAAAAGAAGCAAAATTTATCCTGAATGCATAAAAGATCAAATGTTATTTAGATATATAACAGGTGAATTCCAAGAAACATGCAGAATGTTTGATTATAACGAACTGTAATCATATCATGAGCAAAATCGCTTTAGAATGACACATTGATTGACAATAAACAGAAAATTACAAAATACCCCCTCCGTCCAAAATAAGTGACCACTTTCTAAAGTAAGTGTCCGCTTTCCAATTATACCCTTAATTATGAGATGGAGAAATTCATTACTCCCTCTATTACTAAGAGTAGAATATCGTTTAGTTAATTAAAAAGCGTAATTATTACATATTTCTAAAACTGTATGCCTTTTTCATTGTGGACATTTATTTTTGAGACGGAGGGAGTATAGAACAGAACTCCTTAAAACCGACCCAAACAAGCCTAAGCTTGTCAAAATATTTTTTTTAGAACAGGAGTGTAATTTAGAGCAAATGTACCTCTGAAATTGTTGTGAGGATGGCAAAAATCCGATCAAAGGCAGGATAGCGATCCTTCATAGCTTTCACCTCCGATAATATCGATGTCACCCAATCTTGATCATGTATCGGAGCAGACCATATGGGTCCTCCCATGTTATATTTCTTGCCGCAATCGCTGCACTCTTGTGGGACAACAGGGCCAAATCCCGGAAGATATCTTACGCTCGTATTCTTGGAAAAATAACGCAAAAAATAAGTTAAATAAAAGCAAATTCAAGATAGTCAAAAGAGATAATTTCTAAGTAGACTATATGTTGAGGCAGGATTTATGTCAAAAGAGATTCTATCATCATAGGGCGATAAGGAAAAGCTCAAATAAGAACCATAAATATTTTGAGAACCCGGGTACAAACTATTTCATGTATTATTAATGATGAATAACCCTGAATATTATTCATTATGAATATCAAGTATTATCATCGTGAATATCATGCATTTTCATTATGAATAATTTTTGTGATAAATATCTATCACAATGTTCATCATGAATAATACATTTGAACCTTCCCTTAGGGCAATAAATACTTTAAGTGAATTATGATTTGTAGTATTTCCGGGATTAGCTTGTTTTCTGGCATATAAGACTCCGATGCAAAATAGCTACAGAAAGCCGAAAGAAAAGATGAATACCTTGGAAACTGTCCTCCCGATTGGCTGGAGATGAAAGGAATCACAACCAATACACTGATATACGTATGAGAGCTTAAGAGGAGTATTCTTCATTGCACTTGCTGAACTGCAATTATCTTGTAACCGGTTAAAAAGGCTACAATTTTTGTCACACTAAATTAATACTTCCTTCGTCCAAAAATAAGTCTCCACATTTCTATTTTAGTTTGTCCCATAATAAGTGTCCACTTTGAAACAGAAAGTGCCTACTTTCCAATTCTACCTTAGTTATGAGAACGGGAAATTCATTACTCTATCTATCATTAAGGGTAAAATTGTCATTTAGTTAATTAAAAAGTGTAACAACTACACATTTCTAAAACTTTGTGCCTTTTTCATTGTGGCCGTTTATTTTGGGACGGAGGGAGTAACTAATAGCACAAAGGATACTCACGTATATACGCGAACAAATACACGAACATAAAAGTCCATCTGAACAGACAACACTGGGACAATGTATCGCTTGTACCGATTTGCATGACTCTGCACTCAAGGAAGATATGAAGAGCTTTTAGAAACCAAACTAAGCTATCTGAAAATTAAAAAATTCATACATAAAACAAATATACTTCTTCTGTATGGTAAAATTTGCAACCAAAAATACCTTCTAATAAAGACAAAATAGAGGAATCTTGTAAACCCTTAACAATACCAGCGAATTATTTGTAATGGTGATAACGATTAACGAACAAATAGACCACCACCTTCCCAGCCACCCACTAAACCAAACAAACCCGGTATACCCCCTTGAAAGCAAGGTTTAGGGGTAGGGTGACTGTTTCCGAGAACATCCCCTCCCGCCGGGGGGGGAGGGGGGGGGGGCTTGTACCACACATTTAAAGCAAGACTAGCACATATTAAGCGGTATTAAAAAACAGAAAAGATCACAAAGAAAACAAATTGCAAGTTACAGAAGTACCTCAATGCATGCAAGGAGGATCCGCAAAGCCATTTCGTGACAGTATTTTCCTCTTAGTGGATAAGAACCATATCTAGTTCATGATATAGCAGAAGATAAGGAAATAGTCTCTTTCAAGAATCAAGTATGATATACGGCAAATTATGTAAAGCCATAGTTTCTCAAAAAGCAAAGGGAATTTAGAATCTCACTTTGAATAGCAGACTTCACCATTGCCTCCACATAGCACTGCCATATCCGTTGCTGTACACATTAGCAACCCACCATCGGCAATCGATTGAACTGCAGAGTCCAGGAACACAGAGGGTGAACCATATGGATCAAGATCCACCTGAAAATAAGCAAATGCTTGTTATCTATACATAATAAAGCATTTAGGTAAAAGTCTTGAAAACAACTTATTAAAGATCGGTTAATTATTGATATATATGCATAATAATATGGTTTACAAGTTAGGGCCTGTTTGTTAGCAGCTTAATAAAGTTTAATGGGACTTGCAGCTTATTTTGTCAGCTATACATGACTGTATGGTAGTGGCTTAATCACTAAGCTTCTAGGGGGAGCTTTATGCCAAAAGCCAAGTTTTTTCCAACCTGCCCCTCCCGATTAGAAAATACACTCCTATCTATGAAAAAACCCTCCCAAACAATATCTTCCCAATCTATACAGACACATTAATCCACACAAACAATTTTACCCATATAGGACTTAATGAAAAATCAACCAAACAGCCCCTTAATTATTGATATATAAGCATAGTAGCCACTTGTTACTAGAAATCATACCACATCAAATTCCTTAGGATGAGTAAGCATATAGACTCGAGCATCAGCAAGATTTGATTCCACCTTTGCACTCACAACTGAACCATTAAATTTAATATTTCTCCTACAAGCTTCAACAGATGCTGCACAAAACCCAGAATATCAAACTCCAAGAAGGCATATTATACGAAAAAGATACACAATGGCATCAAAATCGCAAGAGACGCAAACTACAGCATGTGTTCATCAAATTCAAATTTTACTTTTTTTGGTTCTTTACTTGGGTGAGCTTGGCATCCAAACAGGCAGAACAGAATAGAACAGGACAGAACAGTTGTTCAGTGTTTGGTTAGACATAACTGGACAGGACAGATAAAATGATCAATTTACCCCTAATGAGTTTTTTTATATCTTTTATATATTTTTTGATTAATTTATTAAATTATAATAAAATAAATAATTTTATAACAAAATATATCATTTGAAAGTTTTCGTCAAGATGATTAAAATGACATCAAAATAAAAGGTTCATGTAGTTTCCAATTTTTATTTTATACATTTTCTATATTATTTAATTATTAATAATATTTAATAAATTACATAAACTAACCAAAATATAGAAACCGTATAAAAATAATAATTTGAGGACAATAAAGTGAAAGTTTAAAAAGCATAAAAATACAATAAATAAAATTTAAAGAATGAATAAAATGTAAAGAGTGAGGGGTATTTGATGTTTTAGAAGAGAATTATGATTTATTTTGATATATACTTGGTAAAATATAGGTCTGTTCCACCCTGTTCCATGGGGTGGACGTGGAACACGCCTGTTCTACTATGTTCCTGTCTGTTCCACATAAAAGTCCTGTCAAACATGGAACGGTGATCTATGTTTTGTTTTATCATGTCTTGTATACCAAAAGCACCCTTATTGAGTTGGAATTTGAGAACTAACTCATATGTGTTGGTATAAAAAGAAAATAATACACCATGACCCACCTTTATCATTATCCAGTGCCACAACTTGTCCGATCCCTTCTACTTCTCGTGCATATCTCAGAGCTCTTAAACCCGAAGCTGACAAAGCCTATAGATCCAAGAAGAAACTTATGTTTACTTGCAAGAAAATACAACATGAATAATTTCGACTCCTTCCATAACAAAGCAGTTACATATGAAAATTTAACAAAAAGATGGGAACCTCAAGAACTCTTGGTGGTTTCAGTTCTCCTTGGCCTTTTCCCTCAAAAGTTTTCTCTGGTTCATCGCCAGTACTACATGGTTCACCTTGGGGTATCTCGTCTAAAGGTTCACATTCACCATTGGAGCTTCCATTAGTAAGCTTGACGGATGCTTCCACTTCAGAAGCATGGTTCTCTGTTACTTTTGATGCTTTTTTCATTCTTTTAGACAGTAGTGCTTCGTGTTCTTCTTTTTGTTTGGAAATGAATGCCCTCAGAACAGCAATTGACATATCTCTATTATTAACCTGTTATTCATAAAATTGTGATCATGTCAGAAGTGTTGCAATAAAACCTTATTGTTCTACTCGTTGTGAATCTTCAAATTCCTAAATGGAACTTCACATTTACGTGAAACTAATCTTATTGAGATCCTAAGAAACCATGTGTATTCATTTGACTATCTATAGTTCAATCCAAAGAAGAGATGTGCTTTACATTCTCAAGTCAAGCTGATTTCTTTTAACTTTAAGATTTGCTTCTTATTTGAAACTTCTTTCTAAAAAATAACCACATTGAACTTTACAACAATTAATACAAACTGAAAATGTAGGAGGTAAATTAGTGAAATTGTTTGGGTAAGATACCAGGCTAGGGAGCATAAGAAATAGGTTTGTGTCATCAGCATCTTAATGAACATTAAGGGCGCGTTTTGTATGCAAACAAGACTGGAAGGGACTGGGGAAAGTGAGGTAGGCGGGTGAAATTATTGTGGAAGGTTTTAATTTGACATGGGTAGTTTAGTAATTTTACCAATCTTGTCCCATCTCCCTGATTTTTATTCCACCAATTTTGGTGGGACAAAAAAACTGCATTTTGGTCCCACTCAATCCAGTCCTGTCCCAATCTAATTTACAAGACAAACATGGGACAATAAACTTCCATTCTATCTTGTCCTGAACCCCGTACGTGTTATATAAAACTGGGGACAAATAACTTGCCAAGAAAATATCATCGAAGTATTGGACATCGTAACAAAATAATCCACCCATATAGTGTGGTTATTGCAACAAAAGGAACACCCGATATAAAAAGACTAGTCATCACAATCAAAATTCAAATAAAAATTGCAGCATTCAGCTATAGTTCAAGTAAAGTGCTTGACTACTTAGATATCTAAATGATTCTCAATGAAGACAAATAAAGGAAGCTGGTGTATTCAATTCAAGATCACTAATAATCGGCAAATAAGTAATCTTAACACTTGTCATAAGTATTGCAATTTTCATGAGGCGGCTGAAGTGTAACATAGCCAAAAAAAACTAATCATTATCATGATCACATGAAGGCCTTGTTTGTTTTTTCAAAAAAGAGTTCTTATTAACCTCTTATGTCCGATTCGTGATAGGGCCATTTAGACTGCTTGTTTTTTCCAATTTTTCAAAGGCGCTTATGTCTTATTGTTCTCAGATACTCTTATCTAGTAAGAGGTAAACCAACTTCTTATTTACCTCTTATTATTCTCCAGATCCTCATCAACCACGTTTCTCAATCGATTAACCTTATCGATCATTTCTCAATCAATCATTACCAAAATCTATCCTCGCCTTTCTCGGTTGATGTATTTTAATAAGATTTAAATGTGTTAAATACCGTCAATGGCATATTTTCATTTAAATGAATGCGAACTATATAATTTAGAAGAAAAACTTGCAATGATGATGAATAAATATGTGAAATTATATGAATTCAACACTATAATTTTCTAATGGGTAAGATAGATAATTTAAACAAATTCAAACATTTATCAATTTACAAAAACAAACAGTCTTATTGATTTTGCGTTCAAACTTCAGCACTACCTGTTATCAATCAGAAGTGAAATAAGACTTCAGACTTAAACACCTCTTAAAAAACAAATTGCACCTAAAATAACTTCATCAGTGATGCCTTGTCAAATGAGAAGTTAACACATCGAAACGTAGGTTTTCACTTTGAGGGTACGTTTGGTGCGCTAGACAGGACAGTACAAAAACTTGCTGTCCCATGTCTGGTGCAGCGTTAGACCGGGCAGCATTAGACCAAAATAGGAGAAAAATGCATTTTTTTTCTATCCAACCAAAATAGATGGAACAAAAATCTAAAGAAATAGGCCAAGAGTGGTAAATTAACTAAACTGCCCTTGTCTATTAAGTTAAATCCCTAAAACCTTCCATAATTCTTTCACCGGATCATCTAAAACCTTCCTTTAAAACCCTAAAACCTTCCACATCTAAAACCTCACACAATTCTTACCTCACCCCTAGGAACCAGGAATCAAAATATATATCTCTTTCTTTTGTTGATATTTGAGCCCAGTAATGAACTTGTACTGAAATTTAAATCTTCCAAAGATTATAAAAAGCATTAGTTTTATCTTGGTGCTTTCAAAGGATAAAAACCCCCCCTTTACATTTGCTCGACCCAATGCAACAATTTGAAACTTACCAACACAACTTTCAATACTCCTCCCTTTTTTCACAAACATTATGATTCCAATCAAACTCAACAAACTTCACATAACACATCATACCCATAACAGAGTTTCAACACTTGACATTCATAACACCAAAATAAACCGATGTATAAGTAAGAGATTGACCTGCGTCTTATTGTAGAAAACTTCGTTTTTTGCGTGCATTAGAATCTCAGCTTCTCCTTCTTTAATGATGGTGAAATCATTGAGATCAAACGGCGGCGGCGTCTTATTAATCTGTTGCTTCTCTTCTTCCCCTGTTTTTGCCTCCGCCATTGATTGGGTTCTCGTTGTACTCCAAGCTTGGCTGATGATGGTGATGGTGGTGGAGGTGGAGGTGGAGGTGGCGGCGGCGGCAGGAGACAGTAGACGGCGGTGATTTTACGAGTGTTGATGATGCCGATATCTGTAAGATCGTTCGTAAGTCTACCGTTTGTGAAGGAAACAGATGCATTCAAGTTGAGCAGTTTATAAAGTGCCAACTGAAAAACCCTATTTTGCTTCAAGTTTTTTTCCTTAAATAAATATTTAAAACCCCACCGGTTGGGACCGCTTATTTGAAACAATTTATATTTTTTTATGAAAGTCTTTATTAATTTACGGGATGTTTGGGATTGCTTATAAAAACAACTTATTGATTTATTTTGATGTGGCATCGGTAATAAGCACTTTTGAATGTTTGGATAAACAACTTATACCGGTGTCAAACCGGTAATAAAGARGTTTTTGAAGAAGTTAAACCCTTCTAACTTATAATAAGTTGATAAGTGTTTTTGTAGAAAAAAACATAGCTTGTTTCAAATAAGCAATCCCAAACATCTCATTATTATAAGTTAGAACGGTTTAACTTCTTCAAAAACTCATTATTACCAGTTTGGTATTGGTACAAGTTGTTTATCCAAACACTCAAAAGTGTTTCTTACCGATGTCACACTGGAATAAGTCTATAAGTTGTTTTTATAAGCAATCTCAAACGCTCCCTAAGTGTCCTGTAAAATTTAACACTATTATTTACTTATCAAATAAAATTTTAATCAATAAAAACAATATCATATGCGATAATTTATACACTAAGCGTTAATTATGGTAACAGTCATTGTTATCACTTACCTTCATAGTGTTTTGCAGTAAAGTATCAAATGTAAAAACGTGGGTCACACATGTCTCACGAAAACACACACACATATATATAGGGAAGGGTTCAAACGAGAATATCTTCATTTTACGAGAACGCGAGAATACTTTTTTACTATAGATAATCACATGTGATACTATTATTTCATTACATGTGATACTAAATCAGAGATGCGGGCGATTTTCAATGCGATATTGGTTGCGGGCCAAGTCACCCTTACACCACTAAGCCCCCTCACATATATTATCACATGTGATAAGGGTGTTGTTGATATGATAGTATAATTATCAAGACCATCACATGTGATAAGGGTGTTGTTGATATAATACTATAATTTATCAAGACCATCACATGTGATGCTAAATCACAGACGCAAACAACTTTTGGCGTGGGCTGAGTCGTAGAACACGTCGTCCGTATATCACAGGAGTGGAAAATTTCAAGAAACTTATTTTCTTCCAAAAAGTAAATTCAAAATTAAAGTAAGGAGTGGCAAATATGAAAATAAGAGAGCTTCTGTTCGTAAAGTTTGTGTTTGTCGAGCCTGCTGACAATTTAGGTCCTATAGATACTACCATAACATTTCCTATTATTATCGTACATCTTCTAAAATGTGATTTTAAATAGAATATACTAAATTCATCTGATTTGATTTTGATTTATTAGATAAAACACTGTTTATTTAATATCCACAATTAAATCACATTATTCGACTATAATTGTTAGTAAGAAAAAAAAAAGCAATTCTTCAATACTACACAGCCTACATTCGAAGCCAAAACATAGGAAAATTAATTAAAATAACAATTTTGAAGCATTTGGTTCATCTCTTAAACATTTGTCTCCCAATATTTTGGAAATGTCACTATCTTCACAAGTGGCAACTCTCCCCTCAACTTGCGAAAGAGTCAAAGTGTAAAAAAAAAAGAGTTTATGAACATGATCTGCAAGTACAGAGACCAAATCTGTAAATTAATCCCAACACTTTCGAACCGAAAATGCCACTTCTGGACCTTTATCTAATTTACAGATTTGATCTTTACACTTGTGAACCTGTTCATAAACTTTTTTTTTACATTTTGATCATTCCGTAAGCTGAGGAGGTGTCGCTTTTTCGTTCGGAAGAAAAGTTTTGGAAGGAAACTCAATTTTTTTGTTCTTAAAAAGATTCGAGAAAACAAGAACCCCCCCCCCCCCCCCCCCCCGGGGGGGGGGGGGGGGGTGTTTATTGTAAAAAAAAGACTTTGGAACCCTTCGTTAATAATGTTATCTGGAAATATATGGTATTTTTTATAAGAATAAACTTCATTTACTCAGTCCCTGTATTTTTCTGATACAACATTTTCGTTTCTAGAGTTTGTTTATTCCGAATTCATCGTCAGATTTTGTTGTTTTGCTTGATTTATGTCCTTCCCTCTAAACAGTTGTTAAAAAATCCATTAAGTATAAGAATTAAAATCAAAAAGAACACAAGAACAGAAAATGAAGTTTACTCTTCTTTTTACATATTAATCAAATAAAGAATCTATCTAACAAATATCAGTAGTTTTAAGTCTTATTGTACAGATAATTATGTAACATATATTTTAATCAGTGTTTATAAAGAGTTATACAGTAATTTCATACTTTTTTGCGGTACTTAATGACGTAACGTCATATTTATAACAAGATTCCAATAAAGGGAAGGGTATTAAAAATGTCTCGTACTTTATACGAAGAAATATGTTTACTGATTTGTAATATTTTGTCATAATTGGTATTTAATCAGAGAATCTATAATTAACCAATCTTGTTTAAAAACTAATTAATTTTCCAGATTATAGCCATTATCTCTGACCCAAGAAAACTTACGATGTTAATAAAATAATATAAAATTCGATTATATTTATAGGATAAATAAAAAGATAATTATGAAATTTGAATTTGATTTACAAAATATACGATTTAACACTTCTCCAAGATATATCCAAATTTATTTAATTTATTCAGTATTTTTTTACACCAGATTTGCATAGAATTATAAAAGCCCATCGACTCCCAAGTAGCTTAAATTTAGCCTTTAATAAAAAAAGAAACTTGTTTTACCAATTTTTATGGCTAATAATATTTTATAAATCACAGATAATACAGTTTAACTATTGAAATTTAAATTTTTAGGAGCTTTATCCTAATATTCCGATCTCTACGCATTTCACTGCTCCACCAGAAATTCTCTCTGCCCCTACCGTACGGGTCCGTACTCCAGCTTCATAGTTTCCACCGCTTGTCCAGAACGAATACCTTCTTCAGATATCTCTGAAATCCCCGGAAATGGTATTTCAGCGATGGACCCAGGATTTTTATCAAGCGGTTGTACCGTTTATATGGATCAAGGATCCGCAAAGTCGTTGGAAGTGTTTTTAGCTAAGTTTCACCGTTTCAAAATATTTTTCAAGTTTTTTTATCGTTAATTTCGAGAGAGTTTTTCAGTCTTTGGTTGATATTTCGTGGTTGAAATTTAGAAAATAGAAAAATTGAGAAAAATACACATAAAATTATTATTATTATTATTATTATTATATTATTACTACTACTATAATATAAATAGAATAATTAAATAATCCACGTTGAAGCTGAATAGATGGGACGATCATGCCAACAAATCATCAAACCGGGTCTACGAGTAACCATCTTATAAGTTATAACCAACCGGCCCACAACTCTCTTTCACCTGCCTAGCTTCCTCCATAGCCTCAACCCACAAGCTAACGGGCTTGAACCTGGCCCGCAAAACCAAACCTCCCACGGCACCATTCTCTCGTGTCTCTCGACCCTCTCGAACCCTTGACAACCGACAATATTCAAGATTTCTTTCCCGACCATCTCCTCTATCCTGAACTGATCTTCACCCGAAAGCTCCTCAATGGTGAAACTGGTATAGATGGAATCGAAAACCGCACTATAGTATTGCAACCCTCAACACAAACGGTCCACCAGAACAGGTTGAGTTATGGTCCTGTTCGACCAGTAGAACCAGCTTCGGCGACATCGACCGCAACATTCTCAAAAACTCGCCCATTCTTTTGTTTTCCTTTATCGGATCATCATTCTCCTTGATCGAGAAATTCATGTCGCCACGATCATCTTCTGCTAGTAATACATGAAGATTTAATATCGATACGAACGCTTCGCCAGGTTCTACATCGAGCATGTACGTCTCGTGTGAGCTTTGTTAGGGTGACATTCAGAGGGTTATACTCAGATGGCATGTCCAACGTTTTAGCCTCTTCGAGAAGTTCGACACCCATCTCTTTAGACAAATGCTTAATACATTTGCGTAAAGCTTATTTAGAGTTGTAACAAGTTTTTTAAGACGTTTTTATGACAAAAACGTCGTATTGGTTATTTTATAGAATATTATTTGAAAAAATGTCTTATAAAAACAAATGTTCATACAACACTATAAAAAAAACATCTAATGCGACGTTTTTGTACTAAAAATGTTCTAAAAAACTTGTTAAAACGTCTTCAAGCATCTTATAAACTTATTACAACACTTTTAGATATGATGTTTTATTGTTTGGTTCTATAAAAAGCAGTCTACTGAGGCACATAGAAAAATTTGTTGGCGTCTTATAAATCCAATTTTATTATAGCGTATACATAAACTGTCTAAGACATATACAGTTATAAAAAAAGATAGTTATAAGAAACCAAACAGAAGGAGTTAGATAGTCAAGACTTATAAAAGGGAACATGCAAGCTAGTTGTAGGAAGTTGGTACTTGTCTCAATCATACAATAAGGCAAATCATTTCCCCTCGGGCATAAGTGACTTGTACATCATGTTGTAGTGGTTGTACATTTGGGGCAACACGAAAACAAACATTTGTCCGTTTATGTAGAGGTGGTACGAGAAACAGATGCACAAGTGAGACAAGCACAGGGGAAATAGGCCAAATTTACGACAAGTGCCGTACAAAATGTAAGACTTTTTTTTTCTGTTCATATTGTATCTAATTAAACCCGTAATCTGATAAAACTAGAGCATAATAGCATACTTCCATTTTGTAACACAATTGGTCCTTGCCTAAAATTGTTAAACAAGTAATGCCAAATCAAGAGTATATCATAGCACAAATAATAATTCTGCTAAGACGTTCAAATATATAAGTTTTTATTTTCAAGATTGAATTTTTAAGAATATACAGATGAGAGGTGATCATTTGCGGGACTGGGCTGAGTTCAGGCGTGGTCTGGACCGGGCCTAACTTGTTTTTTTGTCCAACGGGCCTAATATTGTAAACTCAAAACACTTTTTTTCGGGCTTGACAACTTGTCATTGTCCGCCCTATAAACGGGTCGAGCTTTCCCACGGG